TTCATTTTTGCACAATGTATGCATTTTCATCTTGGTTATAGTCCCCATACAATACCCACCCCCCTTGCTTTGATCCTACTCCTTCTTCCCCCTCACCCCCACCATAGTATGTCTCTAGTTTATAGTTGCTTTTTGATTTTGATTTTTACTTTATTATAATTAGGTCCTTTTCCTGGTCCCTAATTTAGATTTTCTAAATTGCTGCTATGAGTGAGACCATCCAGTATTTTTCTTTTTCTTTCTGGCTTTTTTCGCTGAGCATGAATTCAAAGGGGCACCTGCACCCCAATGTTTATAGCAGCACTATTTACAATAGCTAAGCTTTGGAAACAACCCAAATGCCCAAAAATAGATGACTGGATCAAGAAGATGTGGTACATATACACCATGGAATATTACTCAGCAATCAAAAAAGATAAACACATGCAATTTGCAGCAACATGGATGGAACTGGAAGGCATCCTCATCTTTTTTGCCTAAACTCTACAATTCATAAACTAACAAGAGTTCTTCAAAAATAGGATACTTAAGGCCTTCATTGGTCTTATCATGAAATGACACTTAATACGCCCAGAAAGCTAAATACCAGTGAGGAGACTCACTAAAGAAATTAAACAAAATGGAGTCTTTTTAGAGAAGGCTTCTTAGCATCTTTCTCTTGGTTGAAATGACAAGAAAGAAAATTAATGTCTAATACATTCATGGCACAAAAAGGATGTTTCAGTCCTTTTTATATGCTTTTGCTGTTATCATCTATAGGCCATCCTTAAATTTAAGAAATTGTTGATATTTTTTTTTTTTTTTTTTTTAAAGATTTATTTTATTTATTTATACAAGCACTGGGTACAGTCAGAAGCACGGGAGGGTGAGAGAATTCACCAGAGCCAGAGCTGGGAGCAGAGCAGGCAGAAGGACTGAGGTACACTGCTGAGGGGAGCAGCGGGCGGCAGGAGAGGTCTGCGCGCCATGTGGGACCCTCCTCCGGTGGCCGGGGAGCAGCCGGGGATCGAACCGGCGCTGCAGAGGCAGCGGGCAGCTTCGCAACCCAGCGTTCAACCGCTGCGCCACCGGGGAGGCCCAAAATTGTTGATATTTTCTTGGGATTGATTTTTACTTATCTCACTTGACAAATATTTACTGCATATTTCCTGTGCGTTTGGCACTGTGCTAGGCATGGGGTTACAGGGGTGACCCAGGGTAAACTGGTGAGGACTAATTATAGGCAGGAAAAAATAAACCCAAACTCCTATCATTATTTTGCCAATAAAAATTGCTGATTGTGGAAATTGTTGCTATCTATGCTTTATTTAAAAATGCTGGCAATACAGTTTATTATTATTGCACACCTAGAAAACACAAAATGTTAACATTTTTCTATTCATCTTGGCCATGATTTTTCAATTTCCTACTAACTAATCAGGAAGACAATTCTGACTACAAATTAGATTATTTTCATAAAACATAACCAAGCAGTGAGATTGCATCAACTAGTATTTTCCTGAAACCACTGCTGCCATTTCCACATAACAGTGTTGCTGTAAACAGATGCTTCCTTAAGCTCAAGGAAGCACCCAGTTTTGCTTTCTTACAAAAGCCTAATATTTTTAATACTCCTTATAATAGTGAAGATACAAATGTTCAGAGGTCAAGAAAAAATGCCAGGCTCTAGAATTTTCTAGTGCTATTTTATGATAGCAATAATTACTATATTCCTACAGTACATGACATGGACACTAAGATTATCAGATTAATATCATAGCCAATCACTTTTTTAGGTGTGTGTGAGAAGAAGAGATAAGGAAAAGCCAAAGTGAATTTGCGGCACCTGTTATCTGGGTATTTGGCATTCTTAACAAGTTAAATCCCCAGGAAGTCAGATTAATAGATGACAAGGGGAAAAATGTAAATTGTATTATCACCTTCGACATGCTAATATACATGGGTGCTGAAAAGCCAACTGAAAGGGGACTGGCTTATTAAACTGTGGCATGCTGCAATTTACATATCTCACACTCCAGATGTGAAGAGGGTAAATGAGAATGGAGAAGGCTCAAATCAGCAGTGGATAAGGAGGAAAAATACATATGTATGTTCGCCATCACCATGGCCAAGCGAAGAAAAAGTGACAGTGAAAAGACTGACTTTTCTTTTTCCTAAAATAAATGCGACTTTAGTTCCTTCTCTGCTACGTTCTGGAACAACAATAGAGAGAGAGTGCAGCTAACGCTAGCCGGTCAGCCATTCTGTGCATGGTCCTGTTGCTTTCCAACAGGAAGAGTGAATGTAGATGCCCAGACGACTGAGAGCGCGTCTGGGAGGGGGGTCCTGCTGATGCAGCGAGTGTGGAAGAGCCTTGCAGAGACAGATGATCAAAACCAGCAGGAGTGTCCCCAGACACCTGGCTCTTACTTAGACAGTCAGCAAAAGAGGAAAACAACTTTGAGTCTAGAAAGACAAAGATGAGGACCTTCCAGCTGTCCTAGGAGTTAAGTCTCAGCACTACCACCTCTACAGCCTGAGTTTGATCCCTGGCCAGGGAGCTAACCCACACATGGCGCAGCAGACATCTCCTGTCTTGCCCGCTACTCCCCTCAGCAGTGTATTTCAGTAGATCTGGCTGTTCTGCTCCCCACTCTGTCTCTGGTGAATTCTCTCAGCCCTTACATCTCTGGCCTGCACCCCAGTTCTTCTACACAAAAAAAAAAAAAAATTAAAAAAAAAAGAAAGAAAGAAAAACAAAGCTGGGAACCCAAATCCAATACAAAATCTTAACACATCCAGAATTGGATCCTTGAAGTTCTCAGGGGCAGCCATTATTCTCACTGTTATTCTAACCCTATGTCCCCCAGCCTTTTGATAACTTCTAAATATTTAGAAGAAGAAACAGTTTAACAATGTTTAACTTAATTTTATTTAATTAGGGGGTTCCCAATAGGAATAAAATGCTGGGCAAATGGAATGAAATTAAAAGGCTGAGAGAAAGATAAACACTTACAAAATAGAGTCAAGTTCTAGTTCTCCATAGGAATGAGGGCATTTCACATTCGTAAATTAAATACCAACATACCTAAAATGTATTTCAATTATTTATTGCCTATATAGATGAATGGTAATAAGATCTCTCTCCTCTTTCAGCTTTTGATTAGGACAGAATTAAAACTATACAAAGAAAACAGAATAGTATAACAAACTCCAGTCTAACCATCACCCAGATTCTATCATTCTGGCTTCATCTGTACCATCCCCCACCTCTCCTCTCTACTGCTATTATTCTATTTTTATAGTTTTTAAGGTAAATTAAATCTATTAGAAAGCATGAATATTAAATCATTATTTTGACAAATGAATTTATCCCTAAAACCGGCACACCTATCACAATCTGGAAAGTTCCACATGTCCCTTTCTCAGCCAGACTTCCTGCAGGCAGAACGATACTTTCCCAACAGAACATATTTTCTCCCAAGCAGAAAAGAAATGAAGGAGAGCCAAATCCAGCAAACTTTATATTTCAAGCTGCACCAAAGGCTTATAATTAGCTTCCTACAGAAATGGCAGTGCAGGAATCTGACAGCCAAACTAAGGTCAGGTGCCGACCCGTCTCCTCACACAGGGTACTGGGACACAAAGCCTTGTGAAAAAATGAGCAACATATAACAACATAAAATAGCAACATATAACAAGAGCACAACTTCTGGAACTTCTAATCTTTTCATTTATTTTCATAGTACCCCAAATAAAATTACAGGTCTGTAAATACAACCCAAGAAATAAAAACTAATACCACAAAGTTACAAAATGATAACAGCACCCTTTCTATAATGGAAATTCTAAGCACTAATCACTACAAAGATGCATGCTTGGCACCACATTACAGTCTCTATTCTGCTTCCAAAGAAACAGAAAGGGTCATGGTGGTAGCAGGAATACCCGGAGCAACATTCACAGCGGCTGATCAGCATCAGTGGTGAGGAGCAGGGACTCAACGCTGGTTCTCTTGAACTCCGTTGTGCTTAGTTGGTTCCAACCACAACCACGCAACAGGCATGCACACACACTACACCTACTGTATACAACTCACATCTTGCGACGCCTGCCTGAGCCCTGTTCTCTGTCCTTACCCTGTGGTGGTGCTGGTAAGACCCCCTTCCTCACTCCCACTTGGAGCCACACAAAGGACAACTGCTGGGAAGGCCCCTCCATCCTTTGCTCCACTTAGTCCTTCCAGCCTCTATGACTAAGCAGAGGCCAAGAACGGGCCAAAATCCCCACAGCTCTGGGATTGCTGAGGGGAGATGTTCTCCTTTTGAACTTGGGCTCCTGCTAGCCTGCCTATGTCTTGACGAGGGTGAGTGCCCCCAGCAGGCCCTTGCCCTCAGCTCCAGGATCTCCCTCAAGCCTGGGTGGGGCTGGGGGTTAGGTCAGCCCGTCCCCCAGGACCTGTTCTCTACTAGTCATTGAGGAGCAAGGGGAGCCTAGGGCTTCGTGTCCTGGCCACATTCCTTGCCAGTAGTGAAACTGACACTGTGGTCAATAGTTGGATCTTGGATCTCCTCAAAACTAGTCAGAATCTGAGCAGGAGGGATGTGACTAAGTAGAGTATTAGGGCCCCAAGCTTCTAAGACACCATAACCATTATCCTTGCCTCAGCCCGTTGCATGCAGACCACACCTCCTGCAGCTATACAGTCAACTATAAACATGCTGAGGCCGGTGCCAGCGGACATCCAGAGGATTACCCTTCTTTATATCCTCACTACTTACAGCTCATACCCAACCCAAGCATTGTTTGACAATTCTTTCCTCACCCTCAGTGGGGCACCATCCCCAACTCTCACCCAACCCCTACTACTTCTGTCACTACCAACACCACAGTCACATCAACAACCACCACTACCACCAACACCAACACCCAGTGCCCTCATTGCCACCTTCATGAATGCTCAGAATTGCAAACCGCTGGTGACAGGTATTAAACCCAATTCTTCCTGGCACTGCTGTTACCTTGTTCTCCTCTGGAGTGAAGAGGATTCGGAATGTAGACGGCACTCCTGGAGCAACTTTGTGGCTAGTATTTTTGGGACTGATAACTTTAAAGTAAGGTGAACTTTCCTCAATGACTTTCACCATCCTTGGAATCTGCAGGGGAAAAGCACATGATGAAGGACATGGGGCACATGGGGCATGTGAAAAAGAAAAGGTACCTGCTTTGTGGTTAAAAAGGAAATCTGGCTACTATTTACCATCCATGAGACCTTGGTCAGGTCTGCACTTCAGCTTCCTCAACTGTACAGGAAGGTAACCGTGCCTATCTTTATCCCAGAGCCTCTCGCACAGAGGAAGCTTTCATTTTTATTAATGTTATTACTATTGTTCTATTGATGTTACAAGTTAAATAATCATCTAATTATTTAAATATAACTCTGTTCAAAGACTAACTGCTCAATCACCCACACACAGTGAAGCTGGATTTCCTAGCATCTGGGGAAGGAGCACAGTGCTTCCTCCTAAGGAGCAGCCACTGACATGGAGTTGCACTGAAGCTTTGAAGTAACTTTGGAGGCTCATTATGATTTCCCTTCTACAGATGAAGAAAGTGACACTTGCCCTGAGTGCTCCAGCTTCACTTAGCAATACTGCTGGGAGCCACAATGCTATGGTTAATAAGGAAAATATATATTTTGTCATTTAGATAACAAAAAATCCATTTTCTCTTCATCCACAGTCCTGGCTCACAGCTTCTCAAAACCTTGGAATTCCTTAAGTGTTGAATGTGATAACATTTCTTTTGTGATAAGAGTAAGGTGACTTTGGGAAGTATTTAAGGATGGAGACTGGTTGCTTGGAAACATCAAGATGTGATTAGAGGGACAGAACTTCTAGTCCCAACCCAGACCTCCAGAGAGGAGCTGGAGATTGAGTTCAATTGCCAATAGCCAAATATTTATCAATTGTGCCTATGTAGTGAAACTTCCATAAAAACCAAAAAGGACTGTCTGGCTCAAGAAGATGTGGTATATATACACAATGGAATATTATTCAGCAATCAAAAAAGGTAAACTCATGCAATTTGCAGCAACATGGATGGAGCTGGAAGGGATCATGCTCAGAGAAATAAGCCAGAAAGAAAAAGAAAAATACTGGATGGTCTCACTCATAGCAGGAATTCAGAAAACCTAAATAAGGGACCAGGAAAAAGAATAACTATAAGAAAGAAAAAATCAAAATCAACAAGCAACTATAAACCAAAGACACACTACGGGGGGGAAGGGGAAGGGAGAGAAGGGATTGGGGTCAAAATAAGAGGGGTGCAATCGTATGGGAAATATAACCAAGATAAAAATGCATACATTGTGCAAAAATTAAAAATGATTTAAGAAATATATGAAAAAATAAATTAAATTTAAAAAAAAAAAGGAGGGGCCTTCAGAAAACTTCCCAACGTGTGCACATGTGGAAGAACTGGGAGAGAGGATGACAGCACCAGGCCTTTTCCCCTACCTTGCCCTGTGTATCTCTTCCATCTGGCTATTCCTGAGTAATATCCACTGTGATAAATCAGTGATGTAGTGAGTAAATAGGTTCTGTATGCTGCTCCAGCAAATGAAATGAACCTGAGGAGGGGCTCATGGGAACTTCTCATTATGGCCAGTTGGTCAGAAGCACAAATAATAAACTGGGCTTGCAAATGAACCTCCAGGGTAAGGAGAGGGGGTCTGGGGGCCTCCCATCTCTAGCTGGTGGGTGAGATGAACAGGGAACAGCCTGAGTTTGCTGCTGATGTCTGAAGGGAGGGCAGTGCTAGGAGACTTAGCCCCTTTCCTTTTCTGGAATCTGATGCCATCCCCGCATAGGAAATAGTGTCAGAATTAAGCTGAATTCTCAGATATCTGGAAGGGAACTGAGAATTGCTTGTTAGTGTTGGAGAGCCTCCACACATACTCAGGTTGCAAACTGGTGAGGACACCAATTCAGGAGTCAAGTGCCAGCCTAAGTCTACCTTCCCTTTCTCTGGGACTGTCCTAAGTAGACAGCAGAGGAAAGTTAACAGTATTTAATGTATGACTTACAAGTCTCAGGTAAAAGTGAAGGAAAAAGAACCCCCACATTCTCTCAAAGCTAAAACCCAGGAGGAAGGGAAGATCTCGAGAAATGCAGAGACAATCTGGACACATTTTAGGACAAGAGATAGAGATGTAAAAAGGAAATGTGTGCAGATCTGGTAGAATGGAACTAGCTTTGCTGGTGGGAGGAACATGTGGTGGCATTTCTCATGTGGTGAATGATACCACGTAAGCTACGTGCTATGTATCTCTTCAAGAGATCTGGGTACAGAATCCTGAGCCCTTTGGACTCTTTCTCTGTCTGCCTACCCTGCTAGCTTCTGTCCCACAAGCTTTTCTCACTAACACTCCTGAGGTGAACTAAGTACATCATTTTCTCCAGAGTCTCACGTTGCTGTCACTATGTCACCTGCTGATCCCTGAAAGGCTTCACCGCTTCCTTCAATGAGCTACTGTCCCAAGTGTAACTGCGAGTCCTCCCATCTGCCTCGGTTTCTTGCATAGTCTTCACTTATTTCTTCTTTTTTCTTAAAGCCAGGTCTTTGCCTTCACACTCTCAGGCTCGGGCAGGTCTACCTCTGGGTCTTCAGGCCTGAAGTTTGGCCTCGCTCAGGTACCTGCCTTGCCAGCCTATTCCTTTCACACTCAACAGTGCTTCACGCTGACCTTCTGCATTATCCACTCTTCTCATTATTGTTAGATGTCAAGGAAATCTTCAGACACTTGGTTATGTTTTCTTGAAATAAACCCTAATTTAGCTCTGAAGAAAGAGGCAAAAGGGTGGAGAAGAAGCCTCAGGGGCACCCACAAAGAGACAAGGCAGAAATGGTGGCAGAAGCCAACCAGAACTGTCTATAAATGACATGCGTGGGCCACCAAATGGGTGGAGGGGGGGTGGGGAGACAGAGGAAAGGGAGAGAGGAAGAAGGGTCTTTTTTTAATACAATTTGAAGAATATAAAAGCCCTGGCTCAACCACTGCTACTCATCCAAGTGCAGTTTATACCTTCAGTTGGAGAAATGGTGATGCTGGTACAGAGCAGGGACACGCAAATGGCAGCTGGCCAGTCAGGAATGAAAGCTGAGCTCAGCTGGCCACACACGACAACCTCCCAACAGTCAGCTAGTCAGTCCTAGTTGGAAGTACCTTAAAGCGCACGCTGGGTACCCACCATCTGTTGGGCACTGCCCTGGGGCTGGACATCCAGCAACAAACAAACCAGTGAGGCCTTGTCTTCACAGAGCTTACGGTTCAAGGGCATGTTTTCACATCATTTTCATAGGCCTATAAACTTGATTCTTTTCTTCATCTGAGATCCCACAGGATCCCATTTTATTTAACCCCTCTCACAAGTCCAGGAAAGGTACCATCTCAAACATACTCACTTTGTCGTTGTTCCTCAAGACCAGTGGAACCTCGTAGACTTCAGACGGGGTGTAGTTCTGAAATACAATTTCTGATGGAAAGGGCTGGAATAATGCCTGATCCACGTCAATTCTTGAAAACTGCAGTTGAAAGAGAAAATTCATCGTATTAATCACACAATGGTAAATGTGTCTGGGGAAAGGCAGAAAATACTATTGATATATTGACCTGTGGATATTAATATGAAGAACACAGGAAACACTCAAAAAGGGGTGACCACTATAAACGTTGATTGTTATAACTAGTGAGGGTGGCATCACCTTCTTTAATACAAAAGAAATTACAAATTGTGGTCCCTGGTTAAAAAGAAATAGGCTAATCAGAACACCAGCCTTAGATTTCCATTTCCAATAATGGATAAGAAGGTATTTGAACCAACTTCCATTTGAGAATAACCAGAAAGCTCTATCAACAAATTCATGCTTGGAAGCACCAAAGTGCTACTGAGACAAGGAGGAATTACTGGCCAAAATCCATGAAAAACAGGTAACTCAGGGTGGAAGGTAGAGTAAATAGAGAAAACTGGAATACTTTTTCCCTAGATCTAAGACCATGGCTAGAATTAGAACTTGACTACTTTTTCCCAGGACTACTTTTTTTTCTAGAAGCTAAAAAAAGGCAAGGAAGTGGATTCTCCCTATAAGCTTTCAAAAGGAAAGCAGTCCTGTTGAACCATTTTAAACTTCTGTCCTCCAGACAGAAGTGAATATGCATTGTGTAAGCCACTAAATTTGTGGTTATTTGTTATCACAAATAGCAATGGAGATGTAAGGGGGCTAAGACCCTGTGCAGCACTTTTAAAGAGTAGCAGGGCTGGGGAAACAGTTTGGAATCCACGCTTGTAAAGGGCAGTGGGCCTGATGGACTTCCCCAACACTGACCCATGCAGGGCTGTACCACAGAACAGGAATACATTATGGCAGACAGATCCTCAGTCCTTGAAAGTGAACTAAGGAGACAATTCAGCTTGTGGGTGCTTACAGGGATGGTGTAGAAGCAAATGTGTCCTCTCTGGAAGACAAGAACATCACAGGGGTTCAAGTCAGTTCTACAACTTTCAGTTTTGAAATGAAAACTTAAAACAAGAAAATTGTTTGCAACCACCAAAAACTGCATATTGAAAAATGACCAGATATATGAGGAAATAAGGAGTCATAAGGCAAAAACCAGCAGAAATGAGACTGCAGAAGAGAGAGATCTGGTTCATGCTTAGTCTGTACAAGAAAATGAAAGAAAAGGTTGAGAACTGTGGCAGAGAATTGGCAATGATTAAAAAAAGAAATAAGTGTAAATGTACAACTTAAATTATAACAACTAAAATTAAGAATTCAATGTATGTGTTTAGAAGATTAGCTGAAATTGAAGAATTACTGAACTAGAAGAAGATAGACCAGAAGAAAATATCTAGAACTAAGCAATTGTAAAAATGGAAAAGTGTAGAAGTGGGAGCTCTATGCCAAAAGGTATGAAATAGGTGAAATTGGAATCCAAGAAGACAGCATTGATGCTGAAGCAACATTTGATGAAGTAATGTCAGAGATTTTTCTAAAATCGATGACAGTATCAAGACATAGAAAATAAATCTTATAAAGTATACAACACAAAGTAAACCCTAATATTAACTATGAACTTCAGTCAGTAATGATGTATCAATATTGGTTCATCAACTATAAAACAAAACATAACAAAGAGCACAAGTATAAGATATAAATCATAGGGCCTCCCCGGTGGCGCAGCGGTTGAGCGCTGGGTTGCGAAGCTGCCCGCGGCCTCTGCAGCGCCGGTTCGATTCCCGGCTGCGCCCCGGCCACCAGAGGAGGGTCCCACATGGCGCGCAGACCTCTTCTGCTGCCCACTGCTCCCCTCAGCAGTGTACTTCAGTCCTTCTGCCTGCTCTGCTCCCCGCTCTGGCTCTGGTGAATTCTCTCACCCTCCCGCGCTTCTGACTGTACCCAGTGCATGTATAAACAAAACAAACAAACAAACAAACAAATAAATAAACATGCCTCTATAAAAAAAAAATAAAAAAAAAGATATAAATCATAGGAGAAACTATATGTATATGTGTGTCAGGGTGGTGGGGTATGTGGGTACTCTGGATTTTCCAATCAATATTTCTATGAATATGAAACTTCTCTTAAAGTTCATCAATTAATTTTAAAAATTTAAATTGGAAAGAAATAAAACTGCCAATATTCTAGGATAATAAGAGTGTTTGCATAGACAATCCAGATAAATTGTTAGATACATTGTTAGAAGTAAAATGAGACTTTGACAAGGCTACTGGATATGATGCAACAGTGATTAAAAAAAGATACCATTATAATTATTCCTTACTAAACAAAACACAATTTTAAACAGAGGGAAAATCTATTATATAATATTGCATTAAAAATATAAAATAAGAATAAATAGAACAGAATGAAAAAGACCAAATAGAAAACTAAAACTTCACTAACAGAAATTAAAGAAGACTTCAAGAAATGGAGAGACACAATAAGTCCATGGATAAGAAGTAATATTGTAAGGATAGCAATTCTTCCTCAATTAATTTATAGATTTAATGCAATCTCAATCAAAATCTCTCTGCTCAATAAATTGATCCTAAAATGTACATGGGAGTACAGAGAACCAAAAATATCTGCGATAAATGCCGTGGTTTGGAGATGGACAGACAGACCAACCAATGGTATACAACAGTCCAGAAACCCATCCTCACATATCTGGACTCCGGGCGCATGACAAAGGAGGCCCTCCAGTGCAGGAGGCGGGGCTTTTACATAAATGACACCTAGAATCAAAGATAGACGCCGTGTGGGTTGTAACTGGAAGCATAGACTCCCTTCATTCCTGCCCTTCCCACAGTAAGTCGGGTTGTGAAAAGATGTCTGCAAGAAGGTCTGCTAGATCTCGGGTGAGGTTTGCAACACTCAGATCTCCAAAGCAGATAAAAGGCAAAATCACCAACTCCTTGTTTGAAATAAAGGAATAGCAACAAGAAATTTCCTAGATGCCATCTGGGACTGTGAAATAGTAGGGAAGGCAGAGCTGAGCTAGAAAACACAGATATGCATATTTATAGGAAGCAGTCTGTCACTGAGGCAGGATGGGAGAGAAGGCATGTGAATCCTAAGAATCCCTACAGTCAGAGCTCCTGGGAGAAGAAAAGACTAACACAATTCAGTCACTCTTCCGTCCTTCCTCTCCCCCCCTTCCAAGTGCACACACACACACACTCCTTGGTCCTAAAAAGCTGCATGGAGAATCTCCATGAAGACTTCCTGCTGCTCTGGGGCACTGCCCAGACCCTGCTTCAGCACTAACTGCCTGCAAACTACAAGTCCAGAAAGAATTCCCTTTCTTTCTTTCAAAGATGAGCGGTAAAAACAATCATGGCGCTTATCAAGCCAGCATCTATGCAAAAAAACTCAAGAAAAAATAAAAGTAAACAAAATGGCAAATAAACATTTACCAGAAAAGCATGACCTCAGAGCAATGAAAACCCTAACATTCTATTTCACCATAAATGCAAAGAACATAATGGGAAAAATTCAGAGAGCACAAAGCAAATATTCAAGAGTGCAGAGAAGCGATAAGCAATCAGAGGAGATGAAAAATTCATATGTTCATTCAATACTAATTGAGTTTTCAGTGTTTTCCACATGCTGAGCAAAGTCCTGCCTCGTGGCATTCTTGGGTAAATGGACCAAAAATAAGGAAATATACACTATGAGGTCAGGTGGTGAGAGGAAGGCCATGAAGAAAATTAAGGCAGGACAAGGAAAGTGACTGGGGGAACACTGTTTTTTACTGGAGTGAAGGGTGATGGGGGGAGGAAGGACAAAAGAAGAGGCTGAAATCATAACAAATTTGATCTATTTAACAATTTGCCTAGAGTTAGCCTTTTAACTGCCACTGCTGGGCCAAGAAATGGGAAGCATTGGTTAGCAAAGTTCCTACCATTGCCATGATAAATATATTGGCAAAAGGAATGTATGAACACACACACACACACACTGTGCACTCACACTTACTTTCTATTGACTTAGAAATTAGGTAACAATTGGAATCAGGGGTTAGGGTCATATTGAAGAAGATGGAAAACTGTTTACCATTTTTATGACTTGCATGGTAACTATGTTTCACACACAAGAGTTTTACAGAAAACCCTGCACAGCAGCCAGCTGCCATGGGAAGCTGCACTGCAAGCTGGGGAGACAATGAGCCTTCACACCAGCATACACCACTTACTGAAGTCACATTCAGTTCCAATGTGCTCACATTTACGTGGGGAAGAGTAGAAGAAAAAGATCAATGAGGGAGGCAGACTCAGCTGGTGAGGGGGACAACTTGTGACTCTGAGGATAACTGAAAACTACTGCATAGTTTTAAACACAGAAGTAATATGTTCTGATTTATTTTTGTAATCACTCTTATGTTTTTGTAACACAGAATTATCAATCAATTGACAGCAGGATGAAAACAGGGAGGCTATTCAGTAGTCTTTTGATGGTGGCGGATTGAACTGGGATGGAGGGGGTGGTAGTGGTGGTGATGAGCATAGGTTTGAGTACTGATGTATTTGTATTCTAAAAGTTCTACGCACCCCTATGTTCACAGCAGCCCTATTCACAATAGCCAAGACCTGGAAATAGTCTAAATACCCACCAACAGATGACTAAAAAAGTTGTGATCTATATACTCAATGGACTACTACTCAGCTATTAAAAAAGATGAAATCTTGCCTTTAGCAACAACATAGATGGACCCTGGGATGATTGTGCTATACAGTCAGAAAACGAGAGACAAATACCAGATGGTTTCACTCATATGTGGAATATAAATAAACTGAACAAACCATCTAACAAAATACAACAAAAATTACTCAAGACTCTGAGAACAAAATAGTGGTTATCAGAGGGAAGGAAAGTGCTGAGAGGAATCAGTAGAGGGGGTCAATGTGAAAGTGGTGAATGGTACTAGAACTTTGGTAAATACATATATCAAGGTGTGAAGCTATACTCCTGAAACTTAAATAGCACTGTAAGTCAATAATAAATCAATTAAACAAAGATATATTTGTGAGGGCAGAGTCAATAGTACTTACTGGATTTCATATAAGATATGAGAAAAAGAGAGGTATCAGCAATAACTCCAAGGTTTTTGCCTGTGTATTAATGAAGATACTACAGGCTGAAGGAGGGAGACAAAAAATAGAAAGATCAGGTTTTTAGGTAAGGAATGTAATAGAATAATCAAGTCTCAAAAACTTTAAGTTTGAACTGCTAATCATACATTGAGCTAAATATATAGTCCAGAGTTTAGGGCATAGGCAATGGTAGGAGATATAAGTATAGAAATAATCATACAACACCTGAAACTCATGTAATATTATAATGCAGTATTACTTAGATCATTTTTAGTAATTGTACCAAAAAAAAAAAAAAACAAAGGACTTCAAAACCTTTTTGTAAAAGGGGCCACCTAAGGAGTGAGTTAAGAAAAGAAAGTCTATTATCAAAAAAAAAAAAAAAGAAAGAAAGAAAAGAAAAGAAAGTAGAGGTCTAAGGACCAACTGGGGCACTCCAACATTTAGTGCTCAGGAAAAGGAGAAACATACAGCAAATAAAATAAGAAAATAACTGGTAAAGTAGGCAGAAAACCAAAGGAATGTGGTATCTGAGACACAAATGAGTCTAAGAGACACTGTGTCGAATGCTGTGAGCCAACCCAGGTCTGCTGAGTTAGTCAAGCTTAAGAATGAATTTTAAGAGAAACACACACACACAAAAACCTCTAAGTAACAGCCATAAAGGATCACTTGGTGAATGCAATTATCATGAAATAGAAATAAACAGAAAGTTAAAAATGGCTCAGAGCATGCTCATATTTGACATTCCTAAAGAAGCAACCCCCAAAGTTGCTGTGAAAAAAACACTTGATAATTCAAGAAAAAATTTCTTTGACTAAATAAAGGTGTTTATTTTTATAAATATCAGGGGAAATTTAGAACTAGCCTAATAAAATGACTGGACATCAAATACAAATAAACAGCTTTAGGCAGGCAAGCTAAAAGATTGAAGTGTCTGTATGGGAGGAAATAAATTTGGCTTCCTGCTTCCGCACTTAAAGCCAGAGGAAGTGAGGACTCGAGCAGCAAAGTACTACAGGAAAAATATGTGACCTGAGAATTTTATACCTAGCAAGTCTTCACTTCTGTATAAAGGCATTAGACAAATATTGACAAACACATAAAACCAAGGAACTATTGTTTCCATAAGAACTTTTTGAAGAAATTAGTAGAGGATCACTACAATCCAACTTAGAGACAAATGAGATTCCAGAATATAATGTAAAAACAGCCACCTGGGTTAAGAGAAGAAAAAGAAAAAATGAGACACAGAAAGTTTAGTAATTTCCTCATACTTCATAGCAGGTGTCAAAATACATGAGAACAGGACCTCCCTGGTGGCACAGGCGGTTGAATGCAGCACTGTGAAGCTGTCCGCAGCCTCTGCAGTGCTGGTTCGATCCCTGTCGGCCTCAGAGCAACCCACATGGCGAGCAGACCTCTCCTGTCTTGCCCGCTGCTCCCCTCAGCAGTGTATTTTATCAATCTGCCTGTTCTGTTCCCCACTCTGTCTCTGGTGAATCCTCTCACCCTCCCGCGCATCTGGCCTGTACCCCGGCTCTTACATAAATAAAAAAAAAAACTTAAGAAAAAAAATTAAATAAAAAAAATACATGAGAACACACCCGGCAAAAAAATACATGAGAACACACCCGGCGCACCCAATACATGAAGAGAAATGCATGTAGTGTGGAAGGAGCTATGCGAAGGTGCAACCAGTTCCTTAATGTGGGTGAACTACCTTTGGGAAAAGTGGTGATCCTTGTCCTCAGAGTTAGAGGCTGGTTGTGGGAAAGAGAAGAAGCAGTAACTATTCTGATCTCTAAGTAATATTCCATTGTGTATATATACCACATCTTCTTGAACCAGTCATCTGTTTTTGGGCATTGAGGTTGTTTCCATGTTTTGGCTATGGTAGACAGTGCTGCAACAAACATAAGCATGCAGGTTTCCTGTTGAATTAGTGTTTTTGTGTCCTTTGATCAGCGATCAACAAAGACAAACTCATGCCATTTGTGGCAACATGGATGGAGCTGGGAGGGATTATGCCCAGCGAAATAAATCAGAAGGAAAAAGAAAAACATTGAATGGTTTCACTTATAGGTGGAATATAGGAAAACCAAACAAAGGGTCAGGAAAAAGACAAAACTTGCAGGCAGATCGTAGATCTGAGGCAAATAGCAGGGGAGGGAGAGGGTGAGAGCAGGGGAGGGAAGAGCACAAGGGACGATGGGAATGGGTCACAGGTGCGCTGGTGGTTGGAAAATCTGGGGACTACACCCGAGGGGAGAAATCAAATATTGTACAAAAATGAACAACGATATAAGAAATAAAAAATAAATAATTTTTTTAAAAAGCACCAACTAGAGCTGGCAGTGCTCTGGAGAAACAGGAATGTCATCACACCAAGACAGGGAGCAGTGGCAGGAGAACAAGAGGACTCAGGGACTCGTTCTTTTTTCATGTGGGAAATGACGCTGAAAAACTCCTGGGAATAGCAGGGGAACCCTTTGAGAGGGGACTAGTCTTCTGTCGGTCACCAATGGCGGTTCACACCATAACTTGTGCATAAAAAGTGAAGCAAGAAATTAAATTAAAAAGTAGGAAACCAGAAATTATTTACAATTATATGCTTGACAAGACTAGACCATATGTTTGACACTAGAATATGTAAACACGTTGAAATAACCGTTCTTTAGTGACTACAAGGATACATTTGTTATTGGAAATGAGCCAGAATAGACAACAAATGCCTACTTTCATAAACAAATTCCACTTTCTTCCTTCTGAGTGGTGACAGCTCAGGTAAAGAGGGATTTCTCTTTATGCCAAGGAGATAACTTAATTGGACTTGGCTAATTTCATTCTTGGAATTACTCCTAATCTGTAAATGGTAGTGACTGGAATAGCTAAGAAAGAAGTGTGACTACTCAAACGTCATTTGTACTTATAAATTAAATCATTCTCAATATCAAATCACAGGTATCAAGATCAACAGAAGTCAGAGAATGGATAAAACAAAACCAATAAGAGGTTAGCCCAGGAACAGTAACTATGACCTAGCTTTGTTCTAGAGTGTTGACATTATTCCAGGGACTACTTGACACCCAGGCCAGTCAAAATGAGACTACCTTTTGGTGAGTTGTCTCCCCCATATCTAAGAGCTCCACGATCCGCGGGCGGTACATGAAGTGGGTGCTCGCCAGTCTCTGCTCTGTGGTGAGGGACATTTCCTTCAGGAACTCCGAGGGTGTCAGCTAGAATTTACAATGAGAGCCAAAGACTCATAAGCAGTCAACTTGAAAACGTCTTTTCATAAATACCAGTAGTGAATCATTTGTGTTTGCAGCTTTCAGGATCATTCTGGAAAGCTGCTAAGTCCCCTTATAAAATATTTAAAATAACTAAATAATACAAGAGAAGTACCCAGGAACTTTTGAATTCTTTGCACAGAAATTTGAAATGTCATCTGGTTGCTGTTTCTTTATGATTTGGGAGGAATGATGCAAAGGAACCTGGGGCGGGTGAGGGGAGCCAGAAAATGGCACAGGAACATGACCAAAGAGCTTAACATTTTTGCTCAGAACAGTCATCTGAGCATGAAACTCTTCGATTCTCAAATCACTATGGGCACCAGAGCTAAGGAATTTGTAATACTTCTATTTTTCAACTAAAGTTAGCTAAACATACCAGGAAAGTTAGCTAAACATACTAGTTAAACGTACCAGGAAAGCTTTTAGGGGTTTAAAATCATGTTACAGAGAAATCTTCTAAATGTAAAGGATCTGGGATGCATGATCGCATTGGTAAGGAGTAAGTTTGGACTTTTTAGAAAGCATGGGAGCACATTTAGACCTTGTTTCTGAAGAGCCCTGTGTCACTCATCAGATCCAGCAGCCTGTTATGCTGACATACCCAAAGGAGAGCACAAAATCCTTTATCACGTTCGAATGTTATGAGAAAAAAAATCATAACCTATCCTTTTAATAAAACTAACTCAACAAGAGCTTAGTGAGCCAGGACCAATCACTATTATTTAGTTACTGCTGCTCTGGAATGTTCGCATTGTTTCAGGGCCTACTTAATATGCAAAGAGATTATGACCATTGGCAGCAACATAAAGCGACATATGTGCCAAGAATTTTAAAGACATTCAGAGGTATGTAATTTAGCTGATTCATTTTGCCTTGGGTTAAAATCAATGCTCTTCAAATTCCCAGCAATATTAATTTCTGTGATTGAATCCATTTAAATGAAAGCATATTTCTAATATTACTTCCAACTTGGTTTTTTTTTAAAGTTCTTTTTAATTAGAACCCAGAAATAGAATACTCAAAATATTAAGAGGTATCAGCTGTTCTGTGATTTAAGCAAAAAACAGTGAAATCTTAAATGCAATAGGAGTTACTTTAAATATGTAACAACCACCATCACGAAAGAGAAAGATGACAGATTTTATATTCTAATTGGAACACAATATTAGTATTTTAAGTGTAGTGAATAATATCTCTGGCACTTTATGTAAATGATTACTGATATTTTCTATAGCATGGAGTTTATAATTCAGTTCTCACCAAGTCATTATAATTTATTGAAAATACATATATTTTTAAAGGATATAAAAATTATATCTTTTCCTAGATAACACAGAGTCATTAATTTAATGCCCTATGTTCTATAAATAACTGCTGATCAACAGGTAATAGATTATTTAGGTTAAACTCTATGAAATTCTGATATTTGACCTTTTTCTCAAACTATGCAAATGACAATCTCATATGGTTCAACCTAATATTTAGAAAACCTTAGCAGTTTATCTAGTCTTACATGGACTGATTAACTTAAGCAATTCAAGCTTCTGCTTTCATAGAGGTAATTTCAAAAACTGTTGGGCCTTGAGAGGTACCTATGTTCTACAAGAAGCTATCTTGTTAACTAAATAGAACTATCACTCAGCAATTCTCTGAAATTCTGAGAATGCTAAGTAGCAACTGCCAGGCTCCGGGGGACACTAAGTATTTTACAGAGAAATTCTCTGATACATTACCATTTGGCTTACATCTTCTTCTGCAACCAGCTTTGGGCTTAGGGGTGGTAAAACTTTGCTCTGGGTTCCCTTAAGCATTCTGACTAATCCCATCTGAACAGCCCCCATGGTCTCCTCGAGTCTTCTGCTTGTCATTTTTATTTTCTTTGCTCACCTAAGAGTGAAAAATAAAAGTTTTAGAATAAATACAGTTAACTTCTGAATATAGGTGACAGGTCACAATTTCTTTAGCTTTTACAAATACAGGAATGTCCAGGAAACAATGACCTTCCCAAATCCATCGAGTGGTTGGAGTAAATGCCATAACTAAAGGGTTCTATTCCATGCAACTAGTCTAGCTTTAGCTTTATCCCAAAGTTTAAAAATCCCTTTTAGACAAACCAAGTGATTCTGAATTAAATTCACAAAAACACAAGCAATTCTTACATTTGGACACTTTTATCTTCCCAACAAGATAAACAAATTAACATTGCCCAATAAATACATGGCAGAGTTTGCCACTTTAGCTGACTGTTCTCTCATGACACACCACCCTTCAGAGAATAAACTTCAAACTTCAACATTTGAGATACTTAGTGTTTACACATAAAGAGAAACCATGTCTGAGATTTACTTTAAATACTCCATACACTACACAGCATGGCTATTAGTCATAGTATTGCAAGTTCTAGTAAGTGCTATAACCCCAAGGGGAAAAGGGAGGGATCTAAGGTATACAGAGCAAAAAAGATTAAATTAACTGTCCATAGCTGCCTGCTTGCAGATGACATGATTAATTCATAGACAGTGCCAAAGAATGTACAACAAGCTTCTAGAATTAACAAGTGAGTACACCAAGGTCGCAGGATACAACATAAATGTACAAATATCATTCATATTTCTATATATTGGCAATGAAGATATGGAAACCAAAGCTCAAAAGACAATACCATTTATAATTTCCATCCCATCAAAAAAGAAATGAGTAAACTGAAGAAAACATATACAGGGCTTATATGCCCAAGGCAAAGTGCTGATGAAAAAAAAAATTTAAGAACATTTAAATAAAAGGAGAGTTGTGTTCATGGGTTGGAAGACTCAACACAGTAAAGATGTTGGTTCTCCACAAACTGGTACAGAGGATTAATGCAATTTCTATCAAATACAAGCAAAGCTTATTTTAGATATAAACAGGCTTATTTCAAAATTTATATGGGAAGGTACAGACAGGCCCTAGAATAGCAAAACAATCTGTCAAAGAAAAATAAAGTGGGGGTAATTATTCTAACCAATCTCAAGGCTTATTTATATACTACAGTAATCAAGACTACATGTTGTTGGCAGAGGCATAGACATAGATCAAAAGAATAGAACAGAGAACTTAGAAATAGACCCCACAAATATTAAAAATTGATTTTTGACAAAGGTACAAAAGCAATTCAATAGAAGACAAACAGCTTTTAAATAAATTGAGCTGGAGCAACTAAAGATATATAGGGAAAAAATAAGCCTCCATGCATATCTCACATCTTACACAAAAAAAAAATTGATTCAAAATGGATCTTAGATTTAACTGTAACCTATAAAACTACAAAACTATTAGAAATAAACATAGGAGAAATTTTCTAGGCCTAACAATTGCTCTGGTGAAGAGATCTTAGATGTGACATTGAAATTCTAATCTAGGACCTCCCTGGTGGTCCAGGGGTTAAAGACAGTGCTATCAAGCTATCACCAGTCAATGCAGCATGAGTTCGATCCCCAGCCAGGGAGCTCTACCCACATGGCACAGCAGACCTTTCCTGTTTTGCCCACTGCTCCCCACAGCAGTGTATTTCAGTAGATCTCCTGTTCTGCCCCCCACTCTCTCTGGTGAATCCTCTCACCCCCCTGGAACCTCTGGCTTACACTCCAGTTCTTGTATGCATAAATAAATAAATCTTTAAAATAAAATTCTAATCCAAAAAAGGGTAACTTCAAGAAAGAGGATTTTATCAAAATATAAAACTTTAGCACTTAGAAAGACTAGAAACTGGGAGAAAGTGCTGTGGACCTTTATATCTGACAATGGACATACATCTAGAATACATAAAGAACACCCAAAGCCAAAGAGTAAGAAACATAATGTCTGTTTTCATTTCTTCCTGCCACTACAACAAAGTGCCACAAACTTGTGACTTGAAATACAAGTGTATTATCTTAATGTTCTGGAGGTGAAGTGTCTGACACAGGTCTTGCTGGCCTAAACTTGAGGGCTGTGCTCCTTTCCAGAGGTAGGGGGGAGAGTCCATTTTCTGGCATTGTTGCCTTTTTCTTTCTCTTCAAAATCAACAACAGGAGGCGTGGCTTTCTCACACCACATCCCTTGCCCTCTGCTGCTGCCTTACATTTCTAAGGACTCTTGCTTGGAAACTCACAGATAACCCACCCCTCCTTAAAGTCACCTGATCAGCAATGCTAATTCTACCTGGGACTTTAATTCTCCTTTCCAGTGTAATTACCATATTCACACCTTTGGGACTGGGACATATTTGGGAAAGAGGAGGCATTATTCTGCCTACATCACAATCTAATTAAAAACTGAGTAAAAGTCCTGAGGAGACCTTTCACTGAGGAAGATGTATCAGTGGCAAAAAGTATATGGACAAATGTTTTCACTAGCCATCAGGACAACACAAACTAATATCATAATGAAATGAGAGAAGCTAAAAGTTTTTAAAAGTTCTCAGGCTGTTCTGTTTCCTTAGTTCAAAGTACAGGGGAGATAAAAGTCTATGGAACACTCTCCTTCCATCCTCCCATTTCGACTCATCCCACAGGTCTCAGCCAAAACATCACTGCCTTTAGACCTGACTTCCTGACCTCCCTGTGTCTCCACTATATGATTTTATAGCAATTACACTCTATTCATGTAATGAAAAATAATTTGAAAAAGTAACTGGATTTTCACGTCTGCTTTCTCCGCTAGAGAGCAGACTCCAGGAGGGCAGAGATCTTGACCATCACGCTCACTACTGGTGTATACACTGGCAAAGTACTTAGCATGGAGTCAATAAATATTTTTGAACAATTGGAATAAGGAGAGAAACCACTAACCATTCATTAGGTTTTCCTTCTCAAAGACATCTTCATTTAAAAAAAAAAAAAAAAAAGGATCATCTGGCAGATATTTATTGATTTCCCCTCCTACTGAGAACAGTATCGTTTTTTTTCCTTAGGCAAACACCCCATTCCTTTTCCCAATCCTACCCCAAGGTCACATCTCCCAGGCCATGGTGATTGGTTCTGAGCAGGGCACATGACCCAAGTCAACCCAATGAGAGCCACCGTGGTTTAATTCTGACTTTGGAAGTGCTGAAAGAAAGGCATGCTTTCATTCGATGGAGGTTGCTGAAAAGTGGGAGCTTGACACTGCTGGCAGCCACTTGCCCTGACAGGACGACAGGACGGGAGGCTGTCTGAGACTGAAGTCACACAAATGAAAGGAGTGCCAAGAGACTGGTGATGGCATCATTTGACTCCTTAGATCCAGCCAGGAACTTTTCAGTTATCTGAGCCAATTACTGTTCTCTGACACAAGTGTCATCTGAGCTGTATGCTGTGGCCACAGTCTCTTGACAAAGTGAATCCCTTATAAATAATTGCAGTCCATCTATTATTTATAATGTAGTACTGTAGTGTACATAACTTGAGAGCCATTCAGACCACAACTGCCAAAATCAGTTTTTGAGAGTTTGGTTGATTTTTGTCAAGTATGCTAATTTAAAAACAGAAGACAAAGTCACACTTGCCTTACTAAAACGGAATAACTTCTATTTTATGTGCTATTGATTCTGTCACTACCAGAGTCTGAAAGACTGGTAGGCCTGCAGAAACCCACGGTGAGGATATCTTTGGCTTCTACAGCTATTACACTCGAATGTTCACTTGGAGAATTTAGAGCACACACATGACTCAAGGTAATCACTCAAGATAATTGTATAAGCTTCTTATGAATGCTAGACAAGTCATATAATTTTAATTGCAACAAATTCATAAACAAATGCTTATTTATTCATTTGCTGAAATAAAGCGATATTAAAATTACGTATTTGATAATTAAATGTCCTTACTTTAGAGCTGACCATCAAATAGATGAGAGTTTATTCATATTTCAGTATAAACAATAGATGTAATGCTAAGCCTGCTGGCTTAGCAAAAAAATAAAAAATAAATAAGCTGCAGGCTCCCAACTATTAGTAACTTTTTTATGGAAGATAAAGGAAATGCTCTAAGTCCTTCCCTAACACAACAATCCCTAAACCAACTCTCCTTTCCTCAGTGTGCTATATCAATTATTTAATCTATGGAATTTTCTAATATCAGAAAATATCTTCTCATACTTATAATGATGCAGTAAATCATTTCCTTAAATCTGCTTATAGTACTTCAATTGCGGGCACTCTAACGGTTTTTAACCATTTTAACAATTTCTTCATCCCCCTGTAAGAATCCACTCCCTGTGCAGTAAGGGCAGGCTGAGCATAGTATCCTAGTCTCCTATGCTTTGATTGGTCTTGGGTGTGGACATGTGACACTCGTCCAGCCAATCAGAATCCTTCCCTTGAATAATAGCTGGGCATGGGGAAGAGAAGGCTTTCCTTCAGATGAGCTGGGCTGAAAATGCATATACAACTAGGGGCAGGCCTCTTCCCCATTGCTTGGAGAAGGTTTTTGTAGAACAAAGTCAAGGAGATAAAAGCAGAAATGTGAGCTAGATGGGTAACAAGAGGGAAGAAAGATAAGAATGAGTGAATCCTGTGATACTGAAAGCAGTTCTAAACTGTGAGGCTCATTCCTTGAGCCTATGAGCCATCCTACTGACCTAACTAAGCAGACGAATAAACTCCTTATGTTGATTAAGTATTGATGTTTGAAGTTAAGTTTCTATCACTTGAAATCCAGCAATCTCTATCATATTTGTCATATTTTTAGGAACTGTACATATACTTGAAATTTACTGCAGCTTCTAAAGAAAATTTATAAATCACTACTACTATGCAATGATATGAATTGTTATTTTCAAAATGAGTTGAAAATTCCTCAGGTCTCTTAGAATAGAATAAGCTAATGCATTTTGGAGTCATATGTAATATATAGATTAATTCATATGTGCCATCAAATGTAACATCAAGG